TCTTGCATTGGAATAAATGCAGTTTAAATCTTCAGAGTTATTTCATTCTCTGACTTGCTCTTGTCTGTCTTTTCTAATTAACTTGCTCTTTTCTGATTCATAACCATCCTCATCTTTTTTTCTATTTTCACTGTTACTTAGGAAACCCCCACCCAATCTCTAAAAGTTTACAAGCTCCTGAAATAGAATTAGTAAATCTCCCCACCTGGATATTAGTGCTTTTCCAGTTCTGGTGAAACCCATCCTTCATGAAAAGGTCTTTTCTGTCCCAGAACAGATCCCAATGATGCAAGAAACTGAATCCTTACACATTGCACCACCTCTTCAGCCATTGATTTATCTCCCCTATCCTTTTATTCATTCCCTCTAGTAGATTACTACTTTTGATGCTGTTTTTTTTTAAACTTTCTATCTAATCTCTTAAATTCACTCTGCAAAGCCTTAACCCTTCCCTAACTATGTCATTCCTACTGATATGTACACCAACTTCTGTCTTCTCACTCCCCCCTGTGACAATAAGCTTCAAACATTTTGAGATATCCTTAACCCTGCCACCAGGAATGCAACATACTATCCTAGATTCATGCTGACTGCTGCAGAATCCCCCATCTGTGCCCCTGACAGGACAGTATCCTATGGCGATTATTCTTTTAAACCTTAACAAACTCCATTTAATGTAAGATTCATTCTTAGTGTCCAAGATCTGACTGCCACTTCTATTCATTTGAGAGAGGAATAGCCTCAGGAGACTTCTGCGTTACCTTCTTACCTTTCTGAATAGTCAACCATCTATCTGACTGATCCCGTTGTGTAATCACTTCCCTAAGTCTGCTAGTCATTACACTCAGTGTCTCTTGTATGGCCTCAGTAACTTGAAGCCTAAAAAGAAACTCTCAACAGCACCTTACATAAAAATAAATGACCTTTCCTTACCGACAGATTTACTATTAAGCATGCAAAAAGTAGGAAAAAAAATGTAAACATATAAATATCAAAAAGAAATCAAACACTTAGCTGAACAAAAAATAAAAACACCTTCTCAAATAATCTAATATTCAGCTTTCAATCTCTGGACAAAAAACAAAAAAACCTCCCTCCAAAGCCATCCACTCATAGGCCTCTCCATAAGCAACATCTATAAGCAATCTCTCTTTCTTCACATTTTTTTACATAATTCTTTTTTGTCAAATAAAAAAAGCAAATCACTCTGCAGATCAAAACTCAACAAATACAAACTCTGTTAAAAGTTGCTCAGATTATGATTCTTACACTGGTCAAAATGTTGATTTACAGTCATCTTCCTCTGGATGTTTCAACTAGTTTGCAAGAGACATCAGGTCACTGGTTCAATTATCAAGTAGGAGTTCATCTTACAAAAATTGCTGAAGGAAAGATGAACTGATTTTCTTATGGGTTTTGACTGCAGAGAACAGGGAGAAGCTCATGTGCTGGTGTAGCTCCTCCTGGGGCATTTTAGCAGCGGGTCAGGTTCCTCCAACTCTGCCTCTGATTAGGGCGGCAGGTAATGCACAGTAGCTCGCCTCTTATGCCTGGAATGTCTTGAAATAATTTCAGTCTCTTCTTCAGGCAGCAAAGGCGTCGAGGTGCAACATCCACCGTGTCCATCTCGGATTCCGAATTATCTTCATGCTTGATGGAGAAGGTAAGCTCACAGGTTCCAGAACAGGCAGAAAGGCTGTCGAGGAGCTAGGCATGTGTTGCTCCCTCACCACTTGCAAGTTTGCAGCTTTCATACGGTCCACATGCTTGTTCAGGACTGTCGTACCTACCTGAACATTATACATCACTGGACCCGACCTCGTATCGACCATGCCTCTTACCCATGCAGGGCTATTCACGTGGTTCCTACACCAAATTTGGTCTCCAGACGTAAACTGTCTCTCTCACATAGTAGAGTCTTTTGTTCAGCATTGACATTCCTGATGCCGTCTCACCATCTCCCCCAGGTCTGGGAAGATCAAATTTAACCTGGTGTGGAGTCTTTTCCCATTCGCAACTCTGCTGGAGCTATCCCTGTAGTTGTACAAGGAGTGATCCTATAATCAAATGGGAACCAGGATAGTCTGGTACCTAGTGAAGCTGTAGGCTGTTTCTCTAAGCCTGCCTTCAAAGTTTTGACTGCTCTTTCTACGAGGCCATTGGATGATGGGTGGTATGGAGCTGCCCTAATATGTCAAATGCCGTTGAACTTTAGGAAATACTCAAATTCCCTGCTGGTAAACGATGGTCCATTATCTGTGACCATTTAGCCAGACATTTATTCTAATTCATTCTGATTTGGATGTTGCTAAGCAATTCAACTGTTCCAAATCAGATGCAGGCGGACTTTCCAGGGTGTGCACTCTCCTGGATTCATGAGAGTCCTCTTACCCAATATAGGTCTAGTGGGATTGTTCTGTCCACATACTGGCAGCAACTACAATGGTTTGCCGGCCCTGATCCTGAAGAAAATTTGAACTGCTTGGCCAAGGGTTGGCTTTGTTTTGGGGTTTTGCTGTGGACTGACCTAGAGTCCCTCTGCTCAGGATATGTCCTGAGTGAGGCTTTCACTCCAGTGGTGTTCCCCAAGCT